CTTATCTGACCATTGCCTAGTCTGCAGCTCTTCCTCCTGTCTCCCAAGGTCATTCCCCCATTCCATTAGAGAGTGGGAATGATGAAGAAGCTGGGCTAGAAAGCCATGGTGTCCTCCTGGGGGACTTTGGGTTAGCCCCTCCATCTCAGCCCAACCTATTTCCAGGGCAGCTGTGATGGGGGGAAGCAGAAGAAAGTAAAGAGCATCTGACAGCATCGCTTATGGATTCAGAAAACAAGCTGGCAAATTGCCATGAGCTTGCTGACCGCAGGATCTCTTTGAGTTGGAGAGATTCGGTGACCTCATCCCAGACGATTTATAGAGCACTAGGAGCCCATTTAACCCAACTCATGACTCCCAACAGGGCTTCAGAATTTGCTGAAACGGGTGAGGCACCGCTGGAAGAAACAAACAGCCTGTTTATATCCGCATCGGGCTTGGACAGCTCACGTCGAGGGCAGGGGGTTCAAAAAAAGAAGAGAAAACGGGCGTCTGTAGAAGAATGTTGCAAGTTACACCCGTTCTATTCAAGAAGTGCATCAGGAGAATGATCATTCTTCTAGGGTTCCTTCTCACGCTCAGATGTTTTGCATAGGTTAATCTTTTTTTATTGGTTTTCTTGGAATCCCTCCCTGCGTGTTGTCTGGCCTCGTTTAACCTGGTTTGCTATGTCTGTGGCTCTGGATAATCCACTGAATCGTTCACAAACCAAATAAGCTGAATTAGTTTTCTGCGATCTGTAACAAGACTCCTTGGCCAATATGCAGTGAAATGTCGAGCGGAGGGTGTACATGATTTAATTTGACAATCCACTACAAATTTTCACCTGGAGGGTTTGGTTTCTGCACCACATAGCTAGCGCGTTGATTGAAAAACACCTATGGCTGCAGGGAAATAAAAGGAAGGGGGAACCTGGCTTCATGTCTGCTTTAGACTAACAAAGTAGGATTCTGTTTCCAAACAAATTGCCCTGGTGGGTGTTTGCTCTTGACCAATATTTGTAAGCAAGAGGGGTAGAAGTGGCTGGAAGAGAACCGGGAACGGAGGTCTTTCTCAGGCAACTGTTCCCCACCAAAAAAGGGGGAAAAAATAATAAAACCACAGCAAATTGTGCACGAAAGGGAGTCTGGAGAAGCGGGCTGAAATCTCCCTTGGCAATTGCAAAGCCTTGCAGTTTTCGATGTTTTACTTAAGATGCTAAACCAGACCTTCCAAACTGCTCTGGGCGTTGCTGAGCTGTCGGCCTCACTGGATAAACCAGACAGGAATCATGACCAGATGAGCTAATTCTACTTTATTGTAAAGCTGCATTGACAGAATCTTGTAAGTCTGAAAGGACAACTCTCCCCCCGTCTCCTTTACAGCCTGAGAAACTAGGGAGAGCCCTTCCTGAGCCTTTTGCCCCACCCACTATGCAGCTGAGGGCTTCGCTCCCTGTTATCTGACCATTCCCTAGGCAGTCTTTCTTCGCCCCGTCTCCCAAGGTCTTTCCCACAGACCATGACATGAGCGGACATTATTTTAAGCAAAGTTTTCTCGCCCGTTGAAAAACATTCTAAGGCAAATTGAAGTGAGAACCGGTAGGAAAAGCTGCAAGATTTGTGTGTGTGTTTGTACGACACTAATCTGTTGAGGTGGTTGCACTTGTGAGCATCTCGCCCCGCTGTCTGGCCGTACTAGTGAGTGACAGAAACGGGGCCAATGCCTAAACAAGCAGTTTCAATCCACCTTTATAGATCCATCATTTCATTTCTTCCAACTTTCTTTTCAAAACCAAGCGGTTCCCAGGGGGTCGGGGGGCAGTTCATAAAAGTTTGCCTTTTCTGCAAGCAGCACCAAACGTGCGTTTGTGCTAACGATGAACTTGTCAGAAAAGATTAATTAACAAATTAATATGGGGCTGGGAAGTTGCCAGGGAGAAAGGTCATGTGTTTTTAAAATCAATTTCTCCATTTGCGCAACCCAATTTTCATTTAAGTGTAATTGCGTGAAAAAAAAAAGGCCATTAAAAATGTGGGTAAAAAGGTATTATGGCGAAGTGACACGGCAAAGTATCTGGAGGCAGGTTATGTACTTTCAGTTGCCTCCTGGTCACACCTCTGTAAAAATATTGAGGTGCAAGAACTAGAATGACATTAATTTACACCTGTAGATGTTTGTGATTTCTTTCTTTAAGGGGATTTTTTAAAACAAAGAGGTGGAAGAGTCACGGGGACCCAAAAGCACAAGTACAATGATGAAGTGAGGTGAGTAAATTCAGTGCCACAATTCCTGGTTCACAACTCCCTACTTTCTTGTAGCAACTCTACAACTGGTTTTTTTTTTCCCAAAAGAAACAGCGGGGAAAAAAAACCCAATCAAGTTTCTAGTAGCATCTGTTGTTTTAAAAACAAAACAAAATTTCTTACTTTTACCTACAGCTCTGGGATTTCTTGATGGTCTCCCATCCAAATACTAACCGAGCTGGACCCTACTTAGCTTGCAGATTCAGACAAGATCAGTGAGGCAGTGTCATTGGTCAAAACTAACCATAACTGTTGCTAACATTCAACTTCCCTTTGACAAACACAATGAGAAATGTCCCCGGCTGCTTTTGTGACCCCCCAATTCCCAACAGACAATGTTGGGGTGACTTTCTTCCCAGAAAAAAAATAAAGAGACATCCAGCAGGGTCAGAAAATGGCAAGTCGAAAGGTTGACGGAACGGATGTCACAAAAGAGACATCGATTCACTTTTAGCCCCTTAATCAGGCCCTAAATTCAAGCAGTCCAACAGGACATTGATGGATCTGGATTTGATTTTTTCTTAGCAATCCTGTGCTTGGAGGGCAACGGAAGATTTGCATTTTGCTTTGCGATTGTGTTGCTCGGTGTCCGCTTCCTAATTTAGACAGATAGTCTGTCTGCAGCCTCTGCTTCGGTTTTTCATGGCTTCTTGATTTGGAAACTGGGTAATTTGGAAAAAGGCATGGTCAGACTGCTTTTCTTGGCGGGGGAGTCAAAAGTTTCTCCTAGACTCCATCCACACGGCACGCTAAGCTGTGGTTTGTTTGTGTGAATCCCATTCTTGCACTTTGCAAGCCGTGGCTTGGGCCTTTCCATAGACCTAGTTAATTGTGGTGTCATCAACAGGCTTAAGCAAGCTGTGTTTTTGCGTGTTGTGAAAGAGGCTTTGTGCCAATCTGGCCAATTATTGTGAGTGCTTCATTTGATGCATGAAATCTGTCCTGATGTTGGATTGACACCTGCCCACTTATAAATTATGAGTTAGATCAATGTCTTGCATATCTAGTTCTGTATATCAGCCTGCAGATTTTTTTTTTTAATGAAAATACTTTGGAAGATTCAGAATTATACTCTAGCTTAGTATCGCTAAGTATTACTAAGTTAATGGCAATTTGCGAGAACTTTACAATAAACTATTGTTTATTGGAAATCTCAGCAGATGTTTAAGAAGGGTTGGATGTCAAGAGGAGGAGGAGGAGGAGGAGGAGGAGGCGGAGGAGGAGGATTGCCCACTCCAGAAGATTTGTGCTGGAGACATAATTGTAGTTGAAGGGACTTTGACTCATATGATTTGGGCTTGTTCTGTTGTAGTCCCATTTTTAGCTGATACTCCAACTATACTTTTTACAAAGAGTAAGGCTGAATAATGTTAATGGGAATTGGAATGATACGCCCAAACTTTGGAATTTATTGCTATATGAAGAATTTTGGATTTGCTGAGTTTGGAGCATCACCCGAAAGATAATTGTGCTTTGTTGGGAAGAAACGATTACTCTGGACTTAAACGCCTTGCATCCCATGGATTCCTCTTTTTTAAAATTTAGTAAGATGTATGCAAGCAGGAAGCTAAATGAATTGTGATCTTATGCACACCTTTGTCCTGCGCAGAGTGAGATCAAGAAGGGAAACAACTGAGGCTTAATGATGGTAAGCAGCAAAATCTGGAATGAGATAGCATCTAAACCAGTGTTTTTCAAACTTGGCAACTTCAAGATGTTTGGACTTCAACTCCCAGAATTCCCCAGCCAGCATGGGGATTCTGGAAGTCTACATACTGAAGTCCATGGGAATTCTGGGAGTTGAAATCCACATATTGAAGTCCGTGGGAATTCTGGGAGTTGAAATCCACATATTGAAGTCCGTGGGAATTCTGGGAGTTGAAGTCCACACATCTTGAAGTTGCCAAGTTTGAAAAACACTGATCTAAACAGTGTTTTATAAACCACTTAGCATTCTAAACTAAAATAAACCAAGTCTCATTTATGCTGAATATATTGTATCAATTCAACCATATCAACAGAGCATCTAACTCTACTGGCATACCAAACAACTTCTTTTCTATATTACAAATGGCCCATGCAGCCACGTCTATTAATAATAAAGTTGATATTATTGCAATCTTTCACATTTACACTTGTATAGATTTATTTCCCATCTGCTGTTCTCCAGAAATTAGTTTATTTTACACCCGCATGATGAAGCCAATGGAGGTTTGTTTTATGCTTGTTATTTTTAAGACCCTCCTCCCCAATTTAACCAAATGTGGTCATGGTAGCCATCCCCAATGGTTTTTCAAAATTGGGATGGACTCTGGGGGTAAAAAGAAGCAGAAGAAAATCTCCCAATTGTCCAAAACAGTTAGATGTCTAAGAACGAAAGAAAAGGAACTCTCACAAACTTGACATTTGCCCATCCTTGAAAAACAGGGATGCTTGTGAGAATCAAAGAGGAATAAGTTCATAGAAAAAGACCCATTTTTAAATTCTGCCCTCCTCATAATCCAGCAATCCACTTGCTTGCTGTTCAAGACAGTATGGAAACCAAATTTCCTTGCCCCTCCATCGAGAAGGAACACCATGTCCCCAATTCCTTTGTTGGGTCCCGCAAGGCCTTAGTGTCCCTTGCTTGCCCTCATTTTGGGTTCAACCTTGATGGAAGGTCAAGTGGGTTCAGCTCAGTGGAAGAGATCCAGCCAGAGAAGCAATGGTTCTTACCGTCCATCCTCCACCATCTGTCGTCATGTCGCAGTAAACCTGGAAGCCCTCGGGGTAGTGAGTGGGGAAGATGGAAAAGACCCCATCTCCTTGTTGTCCACTGGCGTAGATGTCAAAGCAATCCCGAGGCCGTGAGCCTGTAGTAAGGTATGGAATGGAAGGATAATTTTATCAGGAGGAGGGGGAAAAAGAAGCAGGAAGCAAGGCTAATGAATGGCCTAATTACAGCCTCTCTGTTTGAACTCTTAAGTAGGGCTCTGTGCTAATTGGCTATCGCTAAAAAGTCTTTCTTTCTACTCGTTTCTAGGACCTGGATGAACTTTTAAGGGTCCATTTGTGGGAGAAATAAAAGCCATGGGTTGATAGCTCAGAACTGATGGATGAAGCAGGAAGACATTTCCCCCTTGGCTTTGCCAAACCACAAAGAACATGTATTTCAGTCCCTTGGCTAAGGATGGGCGTCTTGTGATACGGGAAGGTTGAAGGGTTTTATTTCATTTCTTAAACGTCAGATTTTAGGAGCAAAGTTAGCGAGGCTTATGAAAAAGAGTCAACCCAGATAGAATCTCAAGTGGAATGTATTCTGAAAACAGGAGCAATGGGCCCATTTTAGGACTGGGAACACGCTTCTGTTATGGTTTCTGGATCTTTCTTTGTTGGGTGGATGGGTGGATGTCAGTTTAACAGATTCACAATCCAGGGTAGTTTGTGGATGGTTAGTAGATGGCCAGAGTGGAGTTAGTTGATAGTTAGGAGATGGCCAGAGTGGAGACACTTTGGTTCTTCTTACGTTCCAGCCTGTTCTACCCACTGTGGCCAAAAGTAAGGGACACTGATTTCCCATTCAGAAGTATCCCCAAAGCCAGAAGTGTCCAATGTTTGGAATAATGGATGTCTCCTGAACATTGTGAAGCAGCTGGGGATCAGTGTGGTTTGAAAAAGCTCAAGCGAGCACAGTGGTGGCCTTCCAGAAATGCAGTTTCTGAATTAATACTTTCTTTTCATGACTCATGACTCAAGAATGAGATTCTGATTGACATGGAGGAAAAGATTAGGGGGAACCTGTTGTCCCAATTTAGTGGAAGATCCTCCTTTATTCAAACCCAGCCTGTTTGAAGGACCATCATGCCAGATCCTGTGGCAGGCATCTCTTAAGAAGTGAGAAGTACCCCAGGCATCAGCGCATGGACTGTGAACTGAATGGGCCTAGACCTTCTCATGGTCTTCCGTGGTCTTCCATGACCACAAAGAGTTATATTTCTACTTAATTTACGCTAATGAGATCTAGTGTTGGTCAACTCCAACAAAGCCTGATGCAATTCTCTTCCTTCTTTGGCGATCCTTGTTGATGTGTTTCTTCTCTTTATGCTGATACTCAAGGAATCAAGCCTATGTTAGGAGTTTGTAGGGAGCCCACCCTGCAAATGATGGGTACCATGACAGGATGTGGGGTTTGGCAGTGACAGCTTCACAGGGTGTATCTTGTGTGCAGCTACTCCTGGTGTATCTTGTGTGCAGCTACTCCTGGTGTATCTTGTGGGCAGCTACTCCTGGTATATCTTGTGTGTAGCTACTCCTGTTTGCATCTGAACTGAAGAATGAAGTCAACAGGACAATGAAATTTTATAACCTGAAAGTCCTGAAGCTCAGCTTGAGGAATAAAGCTCAGTTGGTAGCTATCATGATTTGGGAAGTGCATAGTTTTTACTTGACTACGCTTCTGCGTTAATCCTGAATTTGGAAAAAAGAAAAACTGTCTAAGTTCCTCTTTTACTGCTGGCCCAAGAAGGAAAAGATGGGGATTTTACATACCATTGGAACATCCTTTTGGCCGCGTGCCCCGAGATGGAATCCTCTGAAGGTCAGCCTTCATTCGTGGTCGGACGATGCTGCGGTCCTTCTGCAGAGTGTCCAAAATATCGCTGACCGAGTTCACAAGCCTTGCGATGTTGGTCTGACTTTCCGAAAGCAACTGCGTAAAGAAGAAAGGGGGGGAAATGGAAACGCTCCCTGATCCTTCACTCTCTTTTTCCTTCCTTTTTCTTTTAAAAATCCCCCAAACCGCCAATCTTTATTGAATTTCTGCAAGAGAATTCCACTTCCAAATTAAAAGAGAAAATGCCATTCATTTATTACGCCAGAAAAATGTGTCAAGCGGAGTGGGTGCGGTGCGCAGCTTTTTATGATGTGAAGAAAATCCAAATATAATAAGGAATGATTTCTTCCACCTATCAGTTTATCTGGAAGGTCCAACGTGCCACCTTAACTCAAAAGATCACTAATTTCTCTCTAGGTGTCGCACCCCACCCCTTAAAACCAATCAGTCATTTCCATCGATGCCTTGATTTGGGTCAACGTATTGATCTGGCCTTTGGATTAAACTTGATTTTTAGGGTGGGTGGTATTTATCGTTCGCCAAGGAAAATCCGGAAGGCAATATTTCTTATTCCAAATCCTTGCCTGCTAGGAAACTAAGATATTCTTGATTTGTCCGCTAGGGAACACAGATATTTCATCACAATTTTGGTGAATAATGCTTGCCAATATTATAGGGACCCTGTCCTTGGCCGTAGCAATCTCCATCGGCAGAGGATAAATTATTTTGCTTTCTACGCAGAAGAATTAACGCTTAAGAAAGTTGCAGGAGATGATTTCAGCCCTTCCAGGATGTTGGGTGAGTGATGGAAAATTCACAATAATGAACAAAGCCTAACCCTAAACAAGCATGGGACTTCTGAATTTGCAACTTACTGCAAAAGCCGTTTAACCTCTCGGTGGATCCGAGATCATTTTCCCCCCACAGCAATTGTTCACTTACTTAGGAAGTTTTTAAGTTGAATACAGTAAGAGGAAGGGGTGGAACGGTTCCCGGTGAAAACATTTTGAGCGCAACGGAGTTTGTTCAGGTCCGAAAGGGGTTGCGGTGATGATTCTGGGTGGGTTTTGAGCATCAAACACTTGAACCAGAGCTTGATAAGTTTTAATTTGAAACATTTTCCATATTCCTGTGCAAGAAGCATTAATTTTTTTCTTTTTTGGTTTGGCATTTCTTTCAATCGCACAGTCCCCCTTGACCTACCCATGTAGCAGATCAGCTATGGGATACAAATTCTATTATTATTATTATTATTATTATTATTATTATTATTATTCGGTTAAAAGCATTTTTTTTTCTTTTGGGTCTTTCAGGGACCAGTGAAAACTTTCCCAAATGTATCTGAGCAAGCCGAGTAAGTGAAATCTATGGTTGAATTTTCTACATTGCTTTAACTTTGGGGCCCAGGCATTGACTTACATGTGTGCCAAAAAAGGTGATCTTAAATTCAGATTTAAGTTCTAGTTGTCTGGGAGATAGGCAAACGCTGTCATGAGTCACTATTTAGTGTAATTGCAGCAAAGCCCCCCCAAAAGATGGAAACATGGGGCAAAAATAGGCAGATTGGATCTCCCGGACAAGGAGTGGACCAGAAGGGCTTCTCAAGCTTGGCCACTTGAAGATGTGTGGACTTCAACTCCCAGAATTCCCCAGCCAGCCCCAGGGAATTCTGGGAGCTGA